TATAAATGATCAGGATGAAGAGACGAGTTGAAAATCGGGTGACTGTCTGTCCGTCCGTCCGTCCGTCCGTGTAAGCTCGAACTTGAAGTAAAAATTGAGATATCTTTATGAAACTTGGTAGACATCGTTTCTTGGTACCGTGAGACGGTTGCGTATTGCAGATGGCGTAATCGGACCGCTGCCACGCCACACAAAACGCCATTAATCAAAAACAAATAATTGCATAACTAAGCTTCCGCAATAAGATACAAACTGTTATTGGTACACAGGAGTTCACATTATGGAGGGCATCTGCAGTTAAAACTTTTTTAAAAAGTGGGCGTGGTCCCGCCTTCTAATAGGTTTAATGTGCAAATAGTTGAACTTTATTCGTGGTGCAAAAACTCCGCCCACTTCCCCATATAACGGTACTGTTAAAAACTACTAAAAGTGCGATAAATCAAGCACTAACACGCCAGAGCATTAAATTTTATCTCTGAGATGGTATAAATTGGCTTTATAGGAACCGCGTTCCAATAGTCAGGGCGTGCACAACCCACTTTTAGGGTGAAAACCCATATCTTGAGATTCTGCTCAACCGATTTCAACCCAAATTCGGTGCATAACGTTCTTTCATGTTTCTATGTCATAGTGCGAAATGGGCGAAATCGGACTACAACCACGCTTACTTCCCATGTAACACATTTTCAATTCCATCTGATTCTTTCACTTTCCACTTTCGCAATCAGGTATACAATGATTATATCGGGGTAAAACTTTGCGTGAAAATTGCAATTAAATATGCCACCTTGCAGGCCAAAAATTGTCTAAATCGAACCAAAACTGTTCAAGCCCCTAAGTACTAAATATGTGGACCCCAGTGCCTATAGTTGACCGTCAATCCACAAAGACATCTCAAACGAGTATACCATTTGACTTTGCGAGAGTATAAAATGTTCGGTTACATCCGAACTTAGCCCTTCCTTACTTGTTTAAATTTTAATTTTAACAACAATTTTTTTTTAATTGAAAATTTTTACTACTTTTAGTTAAAAAATTAATAACTAGAAAACTATTGGTGATTTTTTAATGAATATTTCAGGAGTGATAGTTCAAAACTTTTACTTTGAAAAAATATGTATGAATTTAAATAATTTTTTTTTTTTCAAATTGTTAATTAACTTTTAAGTTAAGAAATGAAAATTTTAATGACTTCTCCCCCCAAAAATTAAAATTTTTTTTTTAGTATTTTGCAATAAACATTAAAGTAACGAAATCCGCAAAAAAATTTGACTGATCGCTATTAGATTAAGCAAAAAAAAAATTTTATGACGGGCGGTCAGCGCTGCCGGTATAGCGCTGCAGGTATAGCGGTTCGGCAACGCACTTAGAGTGTGTTGCATATTTCATTTGTATGTTGGGATGATGGTCTCACATTTTGCTTGCAGTGAATAAGCATGAATGTGGTAGAACAATATGCATAATTCCTACCCGCTTAATAGTTTCAAAGAAATACTTAAGACGGGAATTCCCTAATCCACCAGAATGTATTGAATACCCGCTATTAATATTTCAAGGCCAAATTTTAAACTGGAAGGTCCTATTCTTTAAGTATTAAAAATTCATAATTTCTTTAAATTGAATATTTTTGAGTATCTTAGTCATTGACTTATCTTTAGAGTTACTTAGTAATTATAAATAAGGAATAATACTTCATTTTTTAATTAAAAATATCGTTATTTTATGATTAATTTTATTTCAACAAATGAAAGATAATAAATTAAATAGTTTTTCATAAATAAAAAAAAGAAGTTAAATAATTCTTATAACTTATACGTATTGCTTTATTTCTTTTTTTTTAACTTTATTGGTAACGATTTAAATGTCTTTGGCGAAAACTTTGCACTCGAGTGATGTATTATTAAGAGCTCTGTAATGATGATATTGGCGGGTATTTTTTATGGTTACACATCGGTCATAACGTAATTTAAACATCTTCTCATGGGAGTCATGATCTTCTTGAGAGAAAAAACCAAAGTTAATTTTTTTAAATGCATTCTTACCCCATTCAAATAATGAAGTTGCATTGGTTATGTGCTTATCGCTTTCCCGTTGAAGACTTGCACGAAAAGCTTGCCTCTTAAAACTTCCTGCCAAACCATCACATGCTCCTTTCCCATGAGAAGTAGCAAAAAAATTCCATTCCGCGTCCATGTTGAAATCTTTTTTATGATTTATTAAATTCACAAAATTATACTTATTTTTGTACTGAGAAGCAGCTCCGTCCGAAAAATAGGAAATCTTTTTTTATTGAGGGCTATAAGAACTATTCATCCGATTCAACCCATTTTCGACACAAAATCATACTCTTATCGAAAGTTTCATTTATTTATTTTATTATATGAATTTCAATTATATATCTTGCACATTGACCGATATTTTCGGTAAAAAGTCAACTATAGACACTGGGGTCCACATATTCAGTACTAAGGGGCTTGAGCAGTTTTGGTTCGTTTCAGACAATTTTTGGTCACAAGGTGGCATACTTTAAACGCATTATTCACGCAAAGCTTTACCCTGATACAATCATTGTTGCTTGATTTGCTTAGTGGAAAGTGAAAGAATCAGATGGAACTTAAAATGACATATAACATAGTAATATGAGAATAATATTATGTACCGAATTTGGTTGAAATCGATTAAGCAGATCCCAAGATATGGGTTTTTACAAATAAGTGAATCCGACTGTGATTTTTTTAAAGAATATTTCAAATATATTCAAGTTGATTTTTTTAATTACTACAAAATATCGAGATTGGCAACCCGTTTTATGAGATTGCTCTCTCACTCGCAACTCACTCGTTTCTGCGGAAAAAATCCAATTTACGCGGATATCCTACCGTACGGTTGTTGTTGTTGTAGCGGCAGAATTCTGCCGAGTTGACAGTCCTTGGCCGGAATAAATCCGGGTCCGTTCCAGTTACGTAGACCCGACTGTCGTGGGAACGGCCTACCGTATGGTCTGTTGAAGCGGAGGGTAGAAGCGCCGGTGACCGGTATTTTAAACTAGAGCTTGCACAGAGCTATCATTTTCAATATTCCACAGCAGGGATCGGCATAGTTACACATTCAAACATTGAGAGATTCAACTAGCCCAGTGTACGTTTTACTGCTCCTATACGTTCAAGTGTAATTAGGACCATCACTGGTTTCCTTTAAATCGTTTTTGTACGAAAATAGTGTGCAAATATTCCTCCAACTAACAACACAATTCTTTATAATTTTACTAGTATATAAAAAAACATTATTAATGAAAAATATAAATAATTGTTATTTTCATTATGAACAAATAACAACTCATATATTTATATTAATCAAATTACATAGCATCTATTTAAATGTTCTACGAAGAAAAAATCTAATTTACACTCAATATTAAAGGGTATACAAGATCGTTGATTTATGCTTCATACATACATGCGTATACTTTCCATTCACGTCTTGCTTGCTGCGTAGTCAGAAAGCAACTGGTACTATCATTGTTTATATGGTATAATAAATGTCACAAGGATGTTTGAGACACACGTATACTCAAAGCTCGTTCAGAGAGTACCCGCGGGCTATGAGCTGCCAATCAATGCTCCAGAACATTGGAAAAGACTAATTAGAGATTAATATTGACACAATTTTATGAAAGCTAGTTTCTTTCCCTTAATTAATATTGTAAATTTATTTTAATAAAACAAGAAGTATCCTTTTTTCACATGTTAAAACTGCATTATTATAAAAAAAATGAAATAAAATATAAGAGAAAATAATATTTTTAATTTGTTCGCGATACATTTGATTAGTGTATTGCCTTTGATTGAGTCACATCTGGATACAAATTAACTTCATTAACCGCAGGCCACTGTCTATATTATTATTTTTCATATAACTGAAAATCCCAGTTTTTACTCAAGCTATAGCAAACAGGTCGAAATAACTAAAAGATAACTGAAAGTCAATTATTGTCCCCACTTAGATCATTTTCATCGATTAGGTTTAGGTATTGGTAACAACCGTCAGAGGAACAAAACTATTATACCCTTCAACAATATATTACGACAGTATAATGATGGGAACTGAACACACATAAATTTATATTTAAAATAATATATGTATATGCTATCTGTTACTTTTTACTATGAGATTATTAACGATTTCGTTACAATATGCTTGCAGATTGTCAGCTCCTTCGATTTGATACGTAAAGAGAGACAACAGCAATTGAAGGCAGCAGCTCAAGCTGAAAAAGCGGTAAAAGCACAAAAACAGCAACAACTGCAATGTAATACCAGTAATAGTGGACGGGTGCGCGCTAAATCGCAGGGGGATAAAATGGGCGTGCAACAACAAAATACTAATAAAACTAATAACACCAACAATAATGGAGGCAACAACAAACATCGTGTACAAAAGCAACTCTCAATGATTATTGTCAACTCAAATGCAACCGCCAACAATGATAATAACAAAAGCAATCGTAACAATAATGCCACCCACAACACTGCCACCCATAACACCAGAGTTGTAACAAGCCCTACATCACCGGCTTCCAGCTCTGGTGCAGAGCTGCTGGCATTTGCTGCAAAATCATCAGCGGCTTCTAGTATGTCCGCAGCGCCGAATTCGGCCCAGAAGCCCCGTCCGGCATCAGTATCTTTGCATTTCACAACATCCCCCACACCGGTCACTCAACAATTGCAACACATGGTTTCGGGCACGAATTTGCGCATATTAAACCGCAGTACATCTTATCAGACACAGACGGAGCAGCAAGAACTGCAGACAAAAACAAAACAGTCTGAAGTTGAAAACAATGAAGTGCCACGCCAGCAGCAAGCACAGTTGCAATTCACACCAAGTTTCAATTCGTGGACGAATTTCTCATTTACAAAAAATTTTATTGCAAATATATTTTGTTAAAAGTACATAAGTCGATCTACTAGTATGTAGTAGAATTGCAGATTGTTTGAAGAAAAGTGAGGTGAAAGCGGAATTGTATGCATGATTAGGTTAAGTGTGCGAAGGGGGTGTCTATTGGTGGGGAGAGCATAAGGAGTTAAAATTCTTGTATTTGATATAAAAAATTTTACGGTTTTACAACGAATATGAGAAATATCAAAGCGCATGTCATTGAATATAGTTTATGCGATGCTCGGTGATATCTGAGATATTTGAAAACAACAATATGTATATAAAGTTCCAAAAATTTAACAGACATTACTAACATTGAATAATAATTTTATTTGAAATTACAGGGAATTTTAGCTTTTTATGTTTTACCGCGCCAACACTTCGCGGATGTAGCAGTTTATTTTCTAACTGTATCTACTAGGAAATCTACTACTTATTTTTATTGATTATTTTTTTAATTTGATAATTTTTTTCTGTTATTTTTGTAAAACTGAAGCGTACAGACGAAAAGCTTGATTTCTAATTTTAGTTTACTTTACAAACACAAACACATTTTGTTGGAAGTCCTCGATTTTTCAATACATTTGTGAAACTTTAACATGTAGATCATTGTGAAATTTAAGTTTTCCCAATGAAGAAATATTAGGATAATTGTAAATCAGTTGATGAAAATGCCACCTACAAATAGTGAGAAAACGCTAGACGACTCATAGGTAGGCCTAAGCGTATATGTAGTCATAAATTGATGGTATATATGTAATAACCAACTCAACCATCATTTCATTCCATCATCGCGCTCTACCAACGCCTTGTGATAGTACAATAAATTTTACTTTTAGTTTTAATGATAACTCATATATGTACTGAAATGTAAAAAAAGTGCAAAGTAACTTGTCGTATGCAAAAATGAAATGCCTATTTTTGTCGCTCTATATAACAAATGCTCTTATTAAGCTCTTCCATTACTATTGAAGATTAATTTCAGTACAATTTTTCTTACTGTTTTCATGTGGCATTTGAGCGCAAAACAATAATTGAACAAATGTACCTCGAGTTTATTGCATTTTTACTATTATTCATACAATTATATTCAAATTTCCTTGGACAAGAAATTTACTTACCGTAAAATATTTTTGTTAGTGATTTGTAGTAATTAAACTTTTTCCGGTTAGTTCCTGTCTAGTTGTTTAACTTTCAACATGAGTTTAAAGTGCAAAATTGCTTAGAATACAGAATAACTGAAATCGAACAAGAGGCACATAATGTGGCGCCCTTTAGCACGAAAATTAAATTATAATTTGAAGTCACCTCTACATGTAACTTGAATTGGCTTTAAGATGAATGAAAGCATTTTCACAATTGATTAAATTTTAATTTTTTATTCACTTTTAAGTTAAAGAAGTGCGAATATTTTTTGTTGTAGAATTTGTTCGCAAAGAAGGAGAATAAAAATAAGACGACGGGAGTCGGTGTCAATTGTGTTTGCACTTATTATTTACACTACGTTTATTTTTTATGGTTAAAATTTTAATTTTTTTGACACGCATGCGCATATTGAAACATATGTGTTACTATGAAATATTAAGTTTTTAAGTATATAGACTGCTTAAAATAATAACTCCTTTACTCTTAAATTTTATATGAAAATATTCTTTAAAAAATCTTAATATAAGTGAATTCTGCTTTTATATTTTATTTGAAAATGCAATAACTATTATTTTATTTTGTGTATATTTTAATGATAGTTCTAAAAAGTAAAAAGTGCAAGCACATTTAATACCAAATGAGCCAAATAAAAAGTGTCGGTTTTAGAAATCATGCCAACATTTAAGCAACATATCGTTTGTTAATGCTATGCAATAACACCTGAGTTATAAGACTACATTTTAAGATTTAGTTTTATAAACAATTTAAATTACAAATAATATATAGAATGTGAAAGTGGTTTCTTCAACTGACAATACGGTAATTTGGCTCATAAAAAAATTTAAAAAAAACAAAAAAAAAAAACGCTCACTCCACACATTTCAAATAGTAAAACGTAAAATAAACCAATCTATTTATCGACTATTGGCCAACCTCAAAACAAAATCTAACACATTGCAATAGTTTAATAGTGAGCAAATACGAAACGCAAAATGAGCATTAAAGCAATAAACCAAAAATTTGACAAAGTACAAAATAAAAGACGAATTTGTTAAACTTTAATATTTTCCTGACACATACTTAACTTATCAATAAAATTTTAAATCAGTTCGCAGTTAAAAATTAACTTTTTTTTTATAACTTAAGAAATATTTTTTAAACAATTTCAATAATATCTTGTGCGAATATACATACTTTGATTCAAAGCTTTTAATACTGTTAGCGACCGTTTGTCTTTTGGAGGAGTAAATGTATTCATATTTTTATAAAAAATACACGTGCTACATTGAAATATTTCAGTAACACCTTCACCTTGTTAGCTATAATCACCACGTATAACATCTACCAGCTTAAGTGTATGCTAAATATTGTATGTATACGTATATATACGTTTATTTTATAGTAAATTGTTGTTATTGAGCGAAATTACATATAATGATGTGATAAGCCCAAAGAGCTAATACTTACTATTACTGAATTTAGAAATTATAAAACTCAAACGAGAAGTGTGTATTAAAATTTTAAAGTTAACGGCGCAACCTACAACCCACAAACTGCAACAATTCAAAATTACCGGTCACAATTACAAAAATATGTTCTAATTAATATTACTTTATAATATATCTGTTGAAAAATATGATCTTCCCATAAATCAGCTTCATTTATTTAACCTATAATATATTTATCTATGTAATAATAAGTTATTAGAGATCAGCAACTGAAATATTAAGTTAACAACAACCTAACGTCATGCATAATTACTTTCCAAAAGTATTTAGTCTTTGTTCCTCTCTTGCTTGATGCAATTAGCTGAATATATTTAACGTACACAAACTACCTTTATATGAGAATAACTCTGTATATAAAAACTGTTTTGAAATTATTCTATTATTATGTGACACTAAACATTGTTTAAAAATTCTAAATCATCTTGTTAATAAAAGTCTTTTTTTATTTTGTACATTCGATAACCAACACCAACCAACCACCTAAATAAATTGTTTAAATTGTTATAGGCGAGGGTGTGGGAGCTTTAATATTATATAATGAGTTCAATATACTTTTTAAAATCATCCGTTTCTTCTCAGTTGTTGTAGTACTGTCTTAAAGATGGAACCATCGGCTAATTTCTCTTAAACCGTGGGCATCACGTCTTGCACTCCCGAGCATAGATGGCTTCTCTAGTCTGACCAGACTTTATCACAAAGCAGTATACATATGGGTCATCAAAAATACCAGCTTTTTGTAGTTCATTACTTGAGGCGGGAGACTCTCTTCAAAGATATACAACATCAAGCACATATGATTTATAAGTCCCAGTTTGATTTGCAGTGGATTTAAAATAATGTCATCTTTAGAAATGAGCAATAGACACAACTGGATGCTTTTTACCAATATCTAGTAAAAAACATTTAAACTTCGCTTACAGCAGTCAATTAATAATATCCAGCTTTGCACTTAAGAGCGCCAGTTTCAGGCCACCAATGTTAATACAATAAACTACTATATAATTTTCTGAGCTAAAAAATTCAGTAATATCGTTTTCGCCTTCACTATAAGATGTTATTTTTGTACCTAATTGACTGATTCATATAGAACTTTTGCTTCGCTTTGCGTCAGACATTTGTTTTGACAGAAAAGTAAAGAAAATTTCGCTGTATGCTTTTGTATAGGTACGTTCACATCGAAACGCAGCAAGGCGAAGCAAATTGTTCGGCAACTCTCATCTTTTCACGCTTTAGTGCCGTTTCACACAGGGATTCAAAAGAGTCTCATACCAGTTTATTGTGGGCGAGGGGACGACGTGGGGGATCGTGTTCGGGTGGCACGCTTTGTGTTCTTGTTCGTAACAGCTCGCTGCTACCCTTTTCAGCATTCCTTTTCACTTTCAAATCCTTTGAATGGTTGCAAGAGCGCTCGGTTTCAAATGAATTCGATCGCAAATTAGAGTTCTGTTATCTATTTTTGTATGTAATATGCAAATACGTATGCATAGAATAATAGAAATATTATGACAAATTGTAAATAAGGAGAAAATTAAGATATATATTATGGAGTAAAGAAATTATGAATTTTTAATACGGAGTAAAGAAATTATGAGTTTTTAATACTTAAAGATTAGGAAATTCCTATTATAAATTTGGCCTTGAAAATATTAGTTGCGGATATTCAATACATTCTTGCGGATTAGGGAATTCCCGTCTTTAGTATTTCTTTGAAACTATTTAGCGGGTAGGTACTTGTATTATGCATATTGTTCTACCATATTCATGGTAATTCATTGCAAGCAAAATGTGTGACCATCATCTCAACATACAAATGAAATACGCAGCATGCAGTGTTGCGCAGTCGAACCGCACAAATATTTACGAAAATTTTGTGAAAAGGAATGCAAAAAAACTAGACTCGAGTTGCTGGACTCTTTTTGACCGTGTGAATGCCCAGAGCGACACCAAAAGAAAATTTGAAAAAACTCAGACTCTTTTGAATCCCTGTCTGAAACGGCACTTACCAAGCAACAGTCGCCATTTTTATTAAAGAAAAACATTGAAAACAAGTAAGGAAGGGCTAAGTTCGGATGTAACCGAACATTTTATACTCTCGCAAAGTCAAATGGTATACTCGTTTGAGATTTCTTTGTGGAAAGGCCGATATTTACGGTAAAAACTCAACTATAGGTACTGGGGTCCACATATTCAGTACCTAGGGGCTTGAACAGTTTTGGTTCGATTTAGAGAATTTTTGGTCACAAGGTGGCATACTTAAAACGTATTATTCACGCAAAGTTTAACGCCGATATAATCATTGTTGCTTGATTTGCATAGTGGAAAGTGAAAGAACCAAGTGGTATGACATAGAAACATAAAAAGAACGTTACGCACCGAATTTGGTTGAAATCGGTTAAGCAGATCTCAAGATATGGGTTTTCACCTAAAAGTGGGCTGTGCCACGCCCACTGTCTAATTTTGAACGCGGTTCCTATAAAGTCATCTTATACCATCTCAGAGATAAAATTTAATGTCTCCGGCGTCTTTAGTGCTTGATTTATCGCGCTTTTAGTAGTTTTTAACAGTACCGTTATATGGGGAGTGGGCGGAGTTGCCACCCGATTCCAACTTTTTTCACACCGTCAATAGAAGTGCTAAAAACATTTGCTTCTAGTGAATTTTGTTATTATAGCATTAGCGGTTTAGGAGATATGCACATTAAACCTATTAGAGGCGGGACCACGCCCACTTTAAAAATTTTTTAACTGCAGATGCCCCCACCTAATGTGATCCTGTGTACCAAATAACAGTATTGTATCTTATTGGGGGGCTTAGTTATACCAATTTATTTGTTTTTGATTAATGGCGATTTGTGGGCGTGGCAGTGGTCCGATTACGCCCATCTGCAATACCAACTGTCTCACGGTACCAAGAAACATGTCTACCAAGTTTCATAAAGATATCTCAATTTTTACTCAAGTTAGAGCTTGCACGGACGGACGGACGGACAGATGGACGGACGGACAGGCAGTCACCCGGATTTCAACTCGTCTTTCCATCCTGATCATTTATATATATATAACCCTAATATCAAACTCGATTAGTTTTAGGTGATACAAACAACCGTTAGGTGAAGAAAACTATTATACTCTGTAGCAACAGGTTGCGAGAGTATAAAAGTAAGGAAGGGATAAGTTCGGATGTAACCGAACATTTTATACTCTCGCAAAGTTAAATGGTATATTCGTTTGAGACTTCTTTATATATTTTAATAATTAGAAGTACGAACTGTTGTTCACTCACAGTGAAAATAATTAGAGCACTTTGTAAACTAAATTTACTCAAATTATGAGAAATCGTTCTTGTGCTTTTTGTATACGCTTATAATTGATTTTATATAGAATGCATTACAACTGTATTGAGAAGTATGAAAAGAAATCGGTTTTGAACAATGAATAACATTTTATATTTATTATATCGATATTATTATACATGTTTATCTTAAAAATAATAAATATTAACAACTTTAAAAATGATATAATATTATTATATTAATTTGTATATAATATTTACAATATTAAACATATTTTTTTGGAAAAAAAAATGCAAGAACTATTGCACTAAGTCCTGAAAACTTTTAGTTCGAAATAAGAGACACAAAATACTGTTCATGATAGCTGTGTACTGCTCTCAAAAGTCAATTAGCATTACATGGGATGGATCCATGTTTGAAAATGCCCAATCAATTTGGTACCGGCAGTGTAGTTGAATATCTGCACCAAGCAGGGAAACTAAGTTTTTTTTCTTGGAGCAGACTTTTTCTTATCTGCAGTCCCGTGTAGACATTAAACAAGTTAAAATCTCCAACAATTAGCACATTTTGATTGCCTAACTCAGAAGTAAGGACTTCCTGAAGTTCTACAATTAATTGTCTGACAGAGAAAGCTGAATTTCTATATAGAACCAGAATATTAATATTGAAACATTTAAACAAAACCGCTTCTAAAACTTTGCGGCCTGAATAAATTTTCTTTACAGCCTTTGATTCTATAGAGCAAGCAATACTATGCTTTGCATATATTATAATGCCCCGTTTATTTCTGTTGGTTGTTTCCGTGCTATCTCTCCTCAGCTCGTTAATTGGAGTAAATCCTGGTATATCAAAATGTTCGCAAGGATAACTCCAAGTTTCTACAAAACATAAAATATCTGAAGATAGCATCAAACAGTCGCTTTTTATATCATTAATGTGAGCGTGAAGACTCTAAATATTATGGAATAAAATTTGATGTCCTGATGTTAGGGAAATCATAAAATTGAAACTTGTTGTCAAAGCTTTATTTGTGTTCAATTCCCTCAGTTCCCTAAATACGGGATCCGGGATAAAATTACCTATGAT